AAAAGTGGGCTATACATGAGGATTTTCGGCATCTGATCATCACTCATTCTTATGACATGACCAGTCCATCTGATCTGTGCTTGCATTAGAAAGGACTCGATATCACCGATGCCACATTTGATGAAATGATCAGGGTTAGAGATTTTGTCCTACCGAGTATTGAACGAAGACAGCATTTATGAAAAGCATCAAGTTGACTGGTGTGAGTCCTATATGGCGTCCATGATTCTGACACTAAGAAGTGTGGTGAGAATGACTGCTCGATAGACACTGATATTCGTTTTCAGTGAAATCCCTCAAACAACCCATAGACGATGCTTAAGCTTCCCAAAGGCATTGGTTGCCTTTGATATTCGGTTAACAATCTCGTCATCAAAAGATGTACTTGAATTGACTTCCTCAGTACAAGAAAGATTTCACATACTTACAGGTTGTTGCTGCCAACAGTAACGGGGACGATTGGAAAGTATGTGCAGGTTGTTTTTGCTTTACACCTTTGACCTGCTTAGGCGTAGGCCTTGGTTGATGGATAACTTCAGTCTTCTTTATGCTTATAGTTAATCCGAATGCGTTGCAAGCGGTGGAAAAACGATTGACGACTGCTTGAGCTTCTTTGATTGAGGTGGCCACGATTACAGCGTCATCAGCAAACAAAACACACGAATAATGCTTGCTCGAATCAGCGATTTGGCTTTAAAAGGTTGATGGTTAAAGAGGCCAACACTTGTGCGGAATTCAAATTTCCTTTACACACACACACACACGCACACGCACACACACACACACACGTGTGTGTGTGTGTGTGTGTATGTGTGTGTGTTGGGGGTGCGTGTGTGTGTGCAAATATATAGAAAACGAAGTTCTTTAGTATTTTTGTTTTTATTTTTCAAAAACAGTGCTCAATACCCAAATAGAGCCTATATTATTTTAAAAATATGATTCCATCGCTATATAGCGATGGAGTCATATTTTAAAAAATAATATATATATATATATATATATATATATATATATATATATATATATATATACCTCCACAGATTTGCTAAAATATGAACATACATGACGAAAACAATTCTTAAAACTTAAAAACGTAGTAACTTAATAAAAAGTGCCATCATCAAAATATTTGTCATTATTAAGAGGAAAGAGTATTTATTTTTAGACCGTTCGAAATTTTGATTAAAAATCTTGTTTCTTTGCGCCAACGGGGGGTCCAAATGTTATTACAGCAAATGTTTGCGTCTTTTTTTTTTTACGTGAAAAACACTTTGGTTTGGAAATTCTTGCAAAATTCAAATAATTGTCGGATTTGAATGAAACTTTCAGAACTTATTCACATATGAATGAAATTATTTTAGAAACATTTCTATTTTGGAAAATCTTGGTAAAAACATTTTTTTTAAAAAAAAACCTGTTACCATCGGCACTTATTTAATTTTTTGAAATCTGCAGAAGTCCACTTTTATACAGCTTGATTTCTGTATTACTTAAACGCAGAACACCTTGACGAATTTAAATCATCAACTTCTTTTTGCAAATCAGTACCTCCAGTTACCGAAGATCTGCTTGAGAAATGATAAATGAAATTAAGCTAAGACATTATTTAATTAGAAAAGCTTTTAATTGCTTTTGTGAATAAGAAATATTATAGACACTATCACCTTAAGATTTTTTTTTTGCGATGAATGATGAATTTTTACAAGAAATGTTTTCATTTTTTAAAAAATGAATTAGAACAATTTATAAAGTTTTATATCTTTTATATTTCTGTATTAATTATGTGATATTCTGAAGTAAAAACTATATTTTAGTCAGTTATGTGCCATGCGTGATACACGCTTAGGCGATCATGTATCATTCGATACATAACTGACGAGGTAGTTTTTTTCCCTCAGTAGGCTGTCATTTTTTTCTGCGGTAGACCAGTTGCCATCCAAGGCCATAGAACTCGGTCTGTCCCGCTATTTATCCATAGCTGGGGGAGAAGATGAGGATTCATACCTTTCCTAAGGGTATTAACACATAAGTGAATGTAATGGGTTCTATTGGAATTCAAATTTGGCTCTCCAATTCCTCAATCCGAGCCGTGCCTCCTTAAATAATAATAATAATAAATACTTAAAAAAGAAAGCAAAGACAAATGCAACCGACCAGATATAGAAACAATGGCAAGATAAACCGCTTCATGGCCAATACTTTGTCCGTACTAAACAAGCTGACGTAGACAAGACCCATACCCATCAGTGGCTACGTAGTGCAGGGTTAAAAGCTGAAACTGAAGGTTTTATCCTTTCTGCACAGGACCAATGCTTGTTAACTAGGAATTATCAAGCACATATACTAAAATATTGTGTTAGCTCAAAATGAAGATTCTGTGATAAATATCCAGAAACATTTGATCATCTTTTATCAGGTTGATATAATGGAATATGCATACACCTGGGTTCCCCCTCACAGGAATATGATTGGCTGGTGTCCGTCATAAATACCGACGGACGTGTAGGAGAGTCAGAAGAGCCTTAGTCTGAGAGCTAAGTCTACAACGACGCACATTGGACTAGGCCATTGATCTACACTTCTTACCTGCGACTACGACGCGTACCAGTCAATTACTACTACCGTATTCTACTTAGTTATAGTAACCAAAACCACTTAGCTACTGAGTTCAAACATATCCCTTTCCGGGACATATCACAGGTTGCACGATATTGGCACCCACTGAATATAAAACCCGGCATGACAGAGTGAGCCAATATCTGCACTGGAAAATTTGCAACTTCTACGGGAAGGAAACTGAAAGAAACTGGTATGAACACCACCCAGACCCGGTTACGGAGAAAGGACCTGTTACAATTCTATGTGACTACACAATACACACTGACAGAACAATCAAAGCCAACCGCCCAGACATTGTTTTTAAAGACGACAAACAAAAAAAAGTGCCTCCTTATTGATATGGCAGTCCCTGCTGACTGCAATGTATCTTTGAAGGTATTCAAAAAACTGTCAAGATACAAGGACCTTGAAATAGAAATCTCGAAAATGTTGCACATGGGAACATCAACAATCCTTGTTGTAGTTGGAGCCCTAGGACTGGTTGGAAAAGATTCCAGTAGACGGATTGAAGGGATTCCTGGAAGTCCATGCCTCAAGAAGATACAAAAATTGTTCGGACAAGTACAGCCCACACTTTACGAAGGGCTTTATCTATGTATTTTTTTTTTTTTTTTTTTTGTGGAAAGTGTCATGATGCTATTTCTAACCTTAGGTCTCTGGGCAGGACCCGAAAAGAAATGTGTAAACGCCAGAAATCAAAGGAAATAATAATAATAATAAAACTATATTTACTGATCATAAATGGAAAAGCTCGCTACAATTCAGCGACCCCAATATTCCGAAAAGAATTTTTTATTTTTGTGGGTTAGTGTATAAATTTGATTTTTATAAATACGGACGTCCATAAACGACACTATCGGAAAATAAAAATGATCACTATAGTAAACTATTTACATTTTTTGGACTATTGTCTTCATCTTAGTCGCCATATTTATTACAACGTTTCTGCCCTTCAGTATCTATCTATATTTCTGAGATGATATATATTATGTACACTATTTACATTATTCGGACTATTGTCCTCATCTTTGTCGCCATATTTATTACAACGTTTCGGTCCTTCAGTATCTGTCTATATTTCTGAGATGAGGTATTATGTACACTATTTACATTATTCGGACTATTGTCCTCATCTTTGTTGCCATATTTATTACAACCTTTCGGCTCTTCACTATCGGTCTATATTTCTGAGATGAGGTATTATGTACACTATTTACATTATTCGGACTATTGTCCTCATCTTTGTCGCCATATTTATTACAACGTTTCGGCCGTTATACACTCCGGTCTTTTCAGGTGGTTGGAATGTCGAACTGAACCTTTTATTTCGCTCACTGGGGTAGACTGTTCTAGTTCCACGTACATTTGGTCAGCAGTCAACGTGAGACCGAGCAGCCGCAGAGAGGTGCTCTCGGGAGGTTGAGCGTCAGACATTCTAATGGAGGGCAGGGAAGGATCTCTGTGGTGATTAATAGAGAGAAGTTTTGTTTTTGAGGCATAAAAGTTGACCAGCCAATTCCTGCCCTAGTTCACGACCGATTGGAGGTCCTTATCGAGACGTACGGTCAGGGTAGTTTTGTCAGTGACACTAGATTTGTTTTTGAGGCAGGAGTAAATTGTGGTGCCATCCACGTAGATGCCAACTTGGGAATTTAAATAGAGCATGTGTAAATATAAAAGTGAACATTGATGTCAACTCTTAGAAGCGAGAGGCTGTTTCATCCTAGACACAATCGCCAGGCCACCAGTGTTTTTTTTTCTTTTTTTTTTCTCGGCTATTTATATAAACGGGTCAGTGGTGCATTGTGGGTAGTCTATTTTGGCGGTTATTTTGCCGGAAGTCATTTATTTGTTTATTTATTCATTTATTTATTTGGGTTAAATTATTTTGCTTTTTTTTATTTATTTTTATAATCGTGGCCTCACGATTGCGTCTAGCATGAAACAGCCTGACGCCTCTAAGTGTTGACTTCAATGTTCACTTTTATATTTATATTATAGATAGATAGATAGATAGATAGATAGATAGATAGATAGATAGATAGATAGATAGAATATTCCATCTATACTAACCTTGTATTCGGATGTAGGTTGGCAATAAAGTTACTATACAGTTACTTATAAGAAAAAGAAATGCATTGAAGCAGGTGGCTTGTAGTTCGAATAATATCGGTAACTAATTTACTATTGTTTACCATAGAATTTTACCGTCCTGGGTAAGACGATAAACTACATCCGCGTCCTGGGTAAGACTATAAACTACGTCCAACAGTAAAGCTCCCTGATCAGGAGGTTTTGAGAAGCTTGGAACCACCGCTTAATTTCTAGTGTTTCTAGGTCCACCCTGACCCAGGGTGATAGCACCTGTTAGGGTCCCAGCTATGGGTAAATAGTTAGCTCCCAAACTGGGGTCAAAACACGATTAAATTGTAAAAAATAGGTTTTAATACCAGAAATACTTTGTAAAAAATTATTACTAGCAATAGATTATTACCAGCAATACATTTTTGAAAAAAAAAATATTACCAGCAATAAAAATCTTGTCGGCATTAAATAACCCATTGAGGTTGAGATGCCGTAAAACGAAACAAACCAAACCATAGGATTTTATTGTTATTAACCAAAATTAGCCAGAAGAATATTAATAATAAATTTCTGGACAGTTGATTAATTGCTTTGTCTTAATTGTTATTGGAAATATCTGTATAGTGACTTTATGACCACCATCTCTCTCTTTCTCTTTCTCTCTCTCTCTCTCTCTCTCTCTCTATATATATATATATATATATATATATATATATTCTTTCTTTGGGTGTTCAACATCACTCTTAAAAATATATATATATATATATATATATATATATATATATATATATATATATATCTTTTATATATATCTTTTATATATATCTTTTATTATATTGTACTAATATATAAAAATATATTATTATTATTATTATTATTTATATCTTTCTTTCTATCTTTTCATATTTCTATTTACCTTCTCTCTCTCTTCCTCTCTTCTATTTCTCTCCTCTCTCTCTCTCTCTATCTTTCTTTATCTCTCTCTTTCTCCAATTATTCTTTTCAACTTATTGCACTTCACGTTTTTTCATATACGTCTTGTGTAATTTCGTCTTCTTTCTTGCCTTTTTCTTTTCGTCTCTTTCTTTTTCATCTCAGTCTTTTCACTACTTCTCTTTCTCTCTTCCTTCTCTTGTTTTTTGCCTACTTTATCATTCCATTTACCTCTCTCTTTATTTCATCCACTCTCTCTATCTGAATGGTCTTATTGCTTTTCAACTTTCTTTTTTCCCAGTTTCTTTCTTTCTTTTTTTCTTTCTTTTTTCTTCGAGTGTTTCCCCCACCCCACTGTCTGTTCTGTTACTCCCATTCGCTTCCCCACGGTACATATTTTTTGTTTTTTCTTCACAAATTTTTCCTTTTTTTCTTTCTTTCTCTCTTTCTTTCTTTCTTTCTATATTTATTTATTTGTTCTTGAATTTCTGAATTTCTGCATTTTTCTCGCATCATGTATTTCTTTTACTACTGTTTCTCTCTTTTTCTTTCGCTCTTTTTCCTTTCTTTCTTTCTTTCTTTCTTTCTTTCTTTCTTTCTTTCTGTCTATTTTAAGGTCTTTATTCCTTTTCGTCTGTCTCTTTCCAACTGATCCTCTCTCTCTCTCTCTCTCTCCAACTGTTTTCGCTTTTACTCTTTATTTATTTGAGTGTCCATTTTTTTCTTTTTATGTCTTCATAAATTCTTTTGTCTATATTTCTTCCTTTCTTTCTATTTGTCTCTCTCTTTCTTTCACTCATTTTGATTTTTGTTTTTCTTTCTTTCTTTTTCTCCCTTTCTTTCTTTTTCTCCCTTTCTTTCTTTTTCTCCCTTTCTTTCTTTTTCTTTCTTTCTATCTGTTTTTCTCTCCCTCTCTCTCCCTATCTATCTATCTATCTATCTATCTATCTTTCTTTCTTTCTATTTGTCTCTCACTCTCTCTTTGTCCCTATCTTTCTTCCATTCATTTTCATGTTTAATTTTTCTTTCATTTTCTCTCTCTCTCTCTCTCTCTCTCTCTCTCTCTTTATCTATCTATCTATCTATCTATCTATCTATCTATCTCCTATGTCTGTCTCTTTCTCCCGCTCAGTTTCATTTTTCATTTTACTTTCTTTCTTTCTTTCTTTCTTTCTTTCTTTCTTTCTTTCTTTCTTTCTTTCTTTCTGTTGTTTCTTCCATTCTTTCTTTTTTCTTCACTTTCTTTCTTTCATTCGTACTTTCTGTTTATTTTTCTTTAATTTTTTTCTTTCTTTCTTTCATTCATTCATTCATTCTTTATTTATTTTTTTTTCTTTCTTGCTTTCTTTCTTTCTTTCTTTCTTTCTTTTGTTTCTTTCATTCTTTCTCTTTCTTACTTTCTTTCTTTGGTACTTTCTTTTATTTTTCTCTTTCTGTTTATTTTTTCTTTAATTCTTTCTTTCTTTTTTCTTTCTTTCTTTCTTTCTTGCTTTCTTTCATTCATTCTTTTTTCTTTCTTTATCTACTGCGTCTATCTCTTTCTTCCACACATTTTCATTTTTCTTTTTCTTTCCATCTTTCTTTCTTTCTTTCTTTCTTTCTTTCTTTCTTTCTTTCTGTCTCTCTCTTTATCTAGTGTGTCTATTGTATTCTTCCTCCCATTTTATCTTTCTTCCTTTCATCTCTTTCTTTCTTTCTTTCTTTCTATTTCTTCATTTTTCTCTGTTTTTTTGTCTACGTCTTTCATTTTCTGCCACTCATTTTCACTTTTTTATTTTTCTTTCTCTTTCTTTCTTTCTTTCTTTCTTTTTCTCTCTTTCTTTCTTTCTTTTTCTCTCTTTCTCTTTATCTAATTCGTCTATCTCTTTCTCTCTCTCTCTCTCTCTCTCTCTCTCTCTCTCTCTCTCTCTCTCTCTCGTTTTTGACTTTCTTTTTTTTTCTGGTCAGTTTTTCCCTTCTCTAATTCTCCTTCCTCTCACAGTATGACTTTTCGTCTTTCTCTTTTCCCACTGATCTCTCTCTCCCTCTCTCTCTCTCTCTCCCTCTCTCTCTCTCACAAACACACACACACACTTTCTACTCTTTCTTTTTTCCCGTCTGCTTTTTCTTTCCTCTCTCTCTCTCTCTCTTTCTTTCCTTTCCCCTTTTCTCTTTTCCCTTTTCTTCCTCCCCACCACACTTGGTTTTTTTTCGTTCTAGCTGACAAGTTTTAGTGTCCGCTTTTCTATCCATCGCGGCAATTCGAACGGAACAGGAATAAACATTAATGTCACGTTGGTCGAAACAAATTCTTTGTCTGTGACAAATGAAATCAAGTCAAATTTATTTCTCTTGTCCCGCCGACCTGTCCCTCCACCGCCTCACCATCGTGCACGGGTCACGTGACTCGATTCTTCTCCCATCATCGAAACTATCAATCAAGTCACAGTAAGCGAGTGAAAAAGAAAAGCGTTTCGGATTTACAACAAAACAAAGAATGTTCAAGCCGATACCCGACCCCCCTTTACGCACATACCCGAATATCAGGGATATAATGTCGGGTTTTGTTTTTAGACAGAATTAAAAAGGAAAAAAAAAACTCGAATGTAACAAAAACTCAGTTTTATTGTGTTAAGGATATAGCATTTATTACCCATAACAAAAAGCACGCTATGAAATTAATCATTTTATTTTTATTTTACTTTTCTATATTTTATATACACAGTTTGGTTTAGCATTTCTTTCAAATCTTAGCAATCTTTTGCTAAGCCCTTACTATTATTATTAAATTTTCACTTTATTCTATTATTATGTAAAAATATCGGTTAATACTTAATCACAATGGAAATCGATCCCCCACTTTACGTCCATTCTTATATTAATTTTATTTTTCCATATTTTATATACACAGTTTGGTTTAGCATTTCTTTCAAATCTTAGCAATCTTTTGCGAAGCCCTTACTATTATTATTAAATTTTCACTTTATTATTATTATTACGTAAAGATATCGGTTAATACTTAATCACAATTGAAAGTGATCCCCCACTTTACGTCCATTCTTATATTAATGCTAGTTCAACATTGATGTCATATTTAGCTGAGCCCTTACTATTATTATTAAATTTTCACATTATTATTTTAATGGGCAATTCTTGTGGAATCGATTTATTACTTAATAACAATAGAAATGGAACCCCCACTTTATGTCCACTTAAATCATATATTAATACTAGTTCAACATTGACGCTATATTTTTGCTAAAACCTTACTATTATTATTAAATTTTCACATTATTGTTATATTATTTTATGGAGTAATTCTTGATTCTTGATAAAGAAAGGAACAACTCAAGAAAATCTCTGGTGAACCATCTCTCCAGGAAATCCCCAAGATATTTTTCGAACAAGCTCAAACTATATCCTTTGACGAGAATTGCCAAGTTTGTGTTTTTCTTTTATTTTTTTATTTTTTTGTCAATAGCTGTTTTTTGTTTAATTAAGTGAAAGCGACAAAAATGACATCCTGCGCTTGCCCGTAGGTTATTGGTTAGGTCCTGGCACGAAATCATCATACTTATTATAAAACCCAGGTTGTGTGTGTGTGTGTGTGTGTGTGTGTGTGTGTGTGTGTGTGTGTGTGTGTGCTGTACGTTTATATATTGGATCGGATTTCCTACATTTTTCAACCGATTTCAACAAAACTTCACAGGACTACGTAAAATTACCTTGCGGTGGTTCTGACGGCGCCAAAAATTGGAAAAACACAATTGTTTTTGTACGAAATCAATTTAAAAATGTGACACTATTTAGGGCTGCTAGAAAGAAAGAAGAAAAAAGAAAAGGCGAGAATTAAATTTAGAAGATAAGAAGCCATCACGAACAGGACACTAAGCGATGTTATTTTTCTAACAAAGAAAAGTGGTAAAATTTTATTTTCATTATCGAGAAAATAAGGTACTGGATTTAATATGATTTATGTTATGGGGTGGCGAATAAAATACAGCCGTCCACCCATGGTGATAATGGAAATTTCAGGTTAGTCGAGTGACCTACGAAACAGAAACTGAGAGATAATATTAATTAGGTCATGCACTGGGTCGCGGGAAAAAAGTCTGCTGGACCACCAGGAAGAAAAGATTGACCCATTAGCCATCTACGGAGATGTCACCTGTTTCGTGTCAGGAGCTGGATATGATAAGCAAAATTATTTTATCAGAACGAATAATTGGCACCAAGGTGCGATACGTCCAATTGACGACCCACTTGTTTGGCGAAGGTCCCTAGTGATGAATCCCAGGTGACATTCAGGATAAAATTGAGATTAAGAGACCACGCTACGGGTTGTATTGGGTTGTTGTCGAGAAGAAAAAGAAAGAAAAGAAAAGGAAAAATGAAGATAATTTTTTTTCTTTGAGCAAGAATTTGTAAACCGAGGCTAGTCCGGCCACACCCACGCCGCTGAGTCGCAACGAGTTGCGGCAGTTCGAAGTTCGCAGTTGAGTTGAGTTAAGCAGTTGCAGTGAGCTGAGAGCTCTGAAGACCCGCCTCGCAGAACCCGACTGAAAGATTCCACGCAAATCACGACCTCAACTTCTAACCAAGAACAATTTATTTTTGTAGAACGACTTAGACTCACACCACCAAAACAAGTTTTACGAATATCACCTGAAGATACACCAAGAACCAGTTTCTTAAAGAACAAACAACTTAAGATGTTAAGACTCGCCTAACAAACACAAAGTATCACGAATCCATATAGCGGGTTGGGAAGAAGACGCAGTCCTGTATTCAGCAACTATATATAAAATATAGTTATACTTTTTAAAACATTTGAACTTTTCGAGTTATTATTTTCTTTTCTTTTACATATACTTGTGCGATATCACCCTTGGACTCGACTTGCATTACGGCCCGGCGACTGATTGATTTCGTCTACCTAAGATCAAATCACAACGTGGGTAGGTTAGACTAGAAATCAAAACAGTTACTTCGGTAACCAGACGTTGGAGGCGAGCTGAGAACGACAAGGCTGATACCGAATCTAACCAGATTCCCATCCGAATCAGCAAAAGGTTAGAACGTCACATTTGGTGCCGCGACCAATACCAAGTCACATTGGTCGTCGCGGGACAGGATAGGACGGCGACGGCGCGGAGACAGACGTGGTGACGTCACAACTGACGCCGCGACCGGGACAGCACGGCGGACGCGGCCAGGCAGACGTCGCGATTGACGCAGCGACACCGGGGGCCGTCACAAAAACACGATTATGGGGCATCGCGAGAATGAAAGGGGGACAACTCATATCGAGTTATACTTATTATAAAACCCAGGTTGTTTGTGTGTGTTCGTTCGTTTATATATGGGATCGGATTTCCTACATTTTTCAACCGATTTCAACAAAACTTCACCTTTTTTTGGCAGGTAGTGTTTCTTATTGTCTTGCACACTTTTTTCTTTATTTTTACATTCAGAATGCTTTAAAAATTCCATTTATAAGACAATTGTTTATAATAAAATTCTATTCAATCACCGATTCGCTATAAGAGAGACTCATAACGATTGAAAACATTGTTTTTGTTTGAGTTTGGGTTTGACCAATTCTTAAAAAAAAAAAAAACTTTAACAATAATCTCAACCTTAAACAATAATCTTTTTCAATTTTATTTTTCAGTCTTTTTTATAGTCGATACTTGATCTATCTCTTACTGTAACATCCCCGGGCAACGACGGGCTCTACTGCTAGTTATGATATAAATGTTGGTTAAAAATAAGTCTAAAAAAAAATAATTCACCTGCCTTAGAGGACGTAGGCGATCATCTCCTTCTATCCCTTGCAGCTCTAAACTTCCTTCCCTCTCATTTCTACACCACCCAGACCACGTTCTGTCATCCATTTGCTTAATCCCGCCATGTATATCACGCGTTGTTTTCCCTTGTCTCATTTTCTCTCTATTCGACCTGTGGGTATCACATTCTCCAGGCCCTCCTTCCTGATTATGCTTCCCAGAAACTTCAGCTGCCTCTTCCTGATGATAAGTATAAACCTCCTCCTTGTTTGCATCATCCTTAAGACCTCATCATTGCCCACACTCTCGGTTCATGATATCCTTAGCATCTTTCTGTAGAACCACATCTATGTCGCCTTAGAGGTAATCGTCCTAACAGTACATAGTCGTGTAACACCCGATCTCGTGTATTGTGCGACTCTCAAATCGTCAATCATAAAAAAATGATTTTATCATCTATCTCTTGTATTATGTGAGTTCCATTTTTGAGAGACCAAATTACAATAGAGACGAACCTCTTTTCCTCTATCTCTTTATCCCATCTTCTAGTTAAATAAGTTAAATAAGTAAAAGTGAGGGATATCCATCATAATAATAACATTACTAATAGTAATAATAATTGTAGTAGAAGTAAATACAATAATAGTTGTCGTAATAATAAGAATAGTTGGCGTAATAAATTTTAGTAATTATTACTACTATTACTATTACTAAATATTACTGAATAGTAGTAGTTATAATAATAGTGCCAATAATAACAATAAAAAGTGTAGTAGTAATGATGATAGTAGTGATAATAATAATAATAATTATAACTACTGCTACTATTATTATTACTATAATAATAATAATAATAATAGTAATATCAATAACAATAGCAGTAGCCAAATAATAGTAATAGTAGTATTAGTAATAGTTAATAATATTAATTAATAATAATAATAGTAGAAATAATAATAATACTAGTACCATTAGTAGTTCTAATAATAATAGTAATAATTATAGTAATAATATTATTAGTACTTGTAATGATAATAATAATACTACTAATAATAATAGCAGTAATAATAATAGTAGCAATAATAATAATAGTAGTATTAATACTAATAATAATAGTAGCAGTAATAATAATAGTAGCAGTAATAATAATAATTATAGCAATAATTAAAGTAAATGTAGTATTATTAGAAGTAATAATACTAGTAATAATAGTATTAGTAATATTAAGAGTAATAAATAATAATAGCTGTAATAATAATAATTATAGTAACAATAAAAGTAATTGTAGTGTTATTAGATGTAATAATGATGGTAAAAGTAATAATAATAATAGTAATATAGTAGTAATAATAATAGTAATAATAATAGTTTTAGTAATAATAATAAAATAGTAAGAAGAAGAATGAAAAGAAGAACAAATCTTAATAATAATAATAATAATAATAATAATAATAAAGATAAATACAAAAGAATGAAAGAAGGTGTGGACCAACAAAAAACCCATCAGTGGCTCAGGAGCACCGGGTTAAAAGCTGACAGAAAAGGCCTAATTATTGCATTTCAGGACCAAAGCCTCGCAATCAGATCCTATCAATACCACATAATCAAGGATGGAACTAACCCGAAAGGCAGGATCCGCAGAAAATATGATGAAATTGTCGAC